CTATGTTAAGGCTGTTTTTATGGGTTCTGTTGGTTTTTCCTACAAACCTGTCAGATAGCAGGTTTAGGATTGTTAAGGGTCAGATTATCCAGTCACCACTGTATATAGCTCCAGTCCATATTCTAACAGTTTCAATAAAGCACATCTTCACTCATATGTGTTACTATTTCTGTCATAAACACATTCTCAGTGACGTCTAAGTCAAATAAACACTTGTAATCATTAAAGTGCATCTATTTTCACAGTGTACAACTAGTCACAATACTGCTGCTTATTGTCAGCATCCCTATGAACATTACATACTGTCCCTTTAAATATGCCAAAATTGACAGTAATAGCTACAGGATACTGAAATGTATTTACTAGAAAATGCTCATCTTACATCAGAAACACCTGAACCTATCTCTCTGTCTCTCCCTGACGCTCTCCTGCTCCTCCTAAAAAACTCCAAATGCCTCAAAAATTCACTACAAATCCCTGCTCCATATCTCTCCTGCTCCCTCCTACAGTCTCCTGCAGTTGGTTTCTGTTTCTGTGCAGATGGCACCGCCCCAAATCCCGTTCAGCCTGAGGAGCAGTCAGCAGACTAAGCAATTTTGATTTTTTTTTTCATTTTGTAAAACAACAGACGACTGAAGATGTTGAAACAAATGCGACGCCTGCAGCACTTACTTTATACGCTTACATTTTACACACAATTTTTTTTTCATGCATGTTCATAACATCATATCTTCTGTTTTATGTGGTCCATCGACATGAAACAAAAACTGGGAGAGAGTTTAAAGTCTGTACTTTCGAGTGAAGTTAATAGCAGGACCGTACATGTGCTAGTTTTTCTGGTCTGATGTCTGGAACTGGTATTACATGTGTCACCTTCAATCATTTCCGTGAACAAAGTACATGGAAATCTCATTAACCTCATTAAACAACATATATCTAATGCATTCATAGTGTACGGGAGTCTTCAAAACACTTTCATACAGTTAATGGACTAAATAGGCCAAGTTGGCGGCAAGCGTGATGACGTCACCGGGAGAAAACTCCGCTGAGACTCACTTTACTTTCACTTTACCTATGTATATAATATGTACATGATGATATGACGATGTGATGCATATTATGCCAAAATTAAGCACTGGGAAAAAAACCACAACTTTACTTTCACATGTATAAAGTTTCGACACACACTCTAAACCCTGTACAGACGCTCACTCTAATGAAGCGGGGTCTTATTAAGTAGGGAATTATGACTTATTAATCGTTACCTACCTGTATCAGATGGATGAAGCAGGAACAATGAGCTCTCAGTTCACTGCGCTTCGTTTCAACTTGCTTCTGAAGCGGGTGCCAGGTGTGCCTCCTCTTACCTGAACCGGAAGAAAACAAACACTCTGCCTCATAAACACAACCCGTATTTTTATAATCCCATTGGTGCAATGGCAATGAACTTAGACCTGAATATTACAAACACAAATGTATACAAATCCAAAATATGAACATGGTGATCATTTTTTACATTGTATCACATAAATGTGGTCACACTTTTGTAGGGCTGCCCCATAAGCTTTAATGTTTACCTCAGTGTTATGATCAGCTCATGCATTCTGTTAAACGGCTACTGTGAATATAACTCCCCTAAAAATAGCCCACTTTATAGGCTAGGGGGGAAAAACGCTGGTGAAAATAAAAATGTCTGAACAGTTGTGATTCCTCCTGTGCTCAGTGACTTCAGGAAGTGAAGTGAGTGCTGCTCTGTCACCTCAGTGAACTGACACTGGCCTGTTTAATAGAATCAAAGAACAGAACTGACAGTCTGTTTGTTACCTATTGTCACCTATTTCTGGTGAATCTTATAAGACAAACACCAGAAACACTGCAGACAAAATCGAAACTAAACGAGGCTGGAAGGAGAGTCAGACTTTAAAAAAAGAGCAGCTTTGGGAGGTAAGAGTTTCCTTTCAGCTACCACAGATTTACCTGAATAACAACCTGTTAAACTCCCGTTGTGGACTTCTGTGTTACAGTTCAGGTTTCACTGTGTTTAGCTTCTGAAAGTCAGACTCATCTCACTTCTGTTTAGAGGGAAACGTGTTTTCTTTATGTTTCTTCATGAGTCTCACAAATATGTTTCTGATCAAAACATCAGGTTTTCACTACCAGTAAAAACTATTGACAACAGCATAAAAACACAGAGAAAGGGTCTGATGTCTTCAGCTGTCACAAACATCTCGTTTCCAGTGGTGTGAACCTGCAGCTCCAGATGTGAGAGGATCTTACCTGAGCTGCTGACGAGGCAGGATGAGGTGGTTTACAGCAGAGCTGAGGATGTGATCACAGTGTTTCTAAGGATCTTCAACCAGAGTCTGTCCAGGCAGCAGCAGAACAAACACGGACCAGGTTGTTCAGAGTCGGTTCATCTCCACACTTCTGACACACAAACATCTCAAGAAAGCAGCACACGGCCAACTTCCTGCTTCCTGTTTAGTCGTGTTTGCAGATCAGCCAGTGATTCAGCGGATGTGTCTGTGGTTTTGATTTCAAGAACAACCAGAGCTGCATGTAAAAAGAAAATCTGTCATTTATCACCTGGTGCACTGAAGCAGTTGCAGCTGGACCTCACGGTGACGTCTGGCTGCTCAGGTGTGACTCGGGGTGTTGGACTGGCAGCAGAGCTCATCACCGAAACCTAAATCCATTCCTGCTACCGTGGCAACGAGGATGATGTGAGGGATTGTTTTCAGCTGAACTGTTTCATCTCAGTTTGACTGTTTGTTCTGGCAGCAGATTACTTCTACCAGCTTCTGTTTACTGTGATTACGGCTCGTTGTTCGGTGAACGCTGGAGGACGTCTCCATTCACTACGAGTTCATCAGCTGCTTTAAATGTTTAGGTTCAGGTTTCTGCTCTTTAAAAGCCTCACAGCTGCAGTCAGAGTTCGGTGAGCAAACAGAGAAGAGACGAGCAGAACGAGGAGGAGGAACGTCTGGAACCTGGACGCAGAACAAGACGAAGAGCGCCGGCAGCAAAATGTCAGCGTTACACAAGAGTGAGTGTGAAAGAGTCATCTGAACAGTCAGAGAGCAGCACGAACAGTCCTCTGACTTCACAGCACACAGCCAGGACACAACAGCAGCTGCTCCACAGTCTACACACGACGACNACTGCTTCAGCTTGGCAACATGTATGTAGGCCTCCTGCAGCCTCCTTGACTTCTCCTCTGTCAGCTCATTCATTTCTTTTTTCAGATTTTCCAACAGACTCGACTTCATCTCATGTTCTGCCTGATTCTCTTCATACTTCTGCTTCATTTCTGCTTCAGTCTTCTTCACTTTCCTTGTCCTGGTCACATATCTCCAGTTTTCTTTCACATGATCTGATGCAGGACACTTGTTGGTACATGCGGTGCAGCGTCCATCTTTCATGACCTCACAGTGTTCAGGTTTCCAGGCCATTGTACATCCAGGATAGTGACAGTTCTCTTCACAGACTGTACAGCAGACAGCTCCTTTATAAAACACCAAAAACCACATCCCGCCATTGATAGGTTCTTTATCTTTGTAGGGCTCATCAACTTCCACAGTGAAGGTCTTGTTCTTCTTCAGCTCTTCTTCATGTTTCTTCAGAGCTTCTTCAGTCTGTCTGATTTCTGTCTGTTTTTGTTCAATGAATTCGATTCTGTCCTGCAGGTTTTGGATGCAGGCTGCCAGTCTGACGCGTTCGTTCAACACTTCAACGGTTACTAGCAGCTTCTGAGGTCCAGTTTTTTCCAGGAAGGTAGTGAACCGACTCATCCCTCTACTCGTTACTCCCCAGGCATACTGTAAAGCAAACTCTGTGTCTCCTGTTCTCTCTGTGTTCAGGCAGTTATCGAACAAGAACTGAACGGGCTGGTTCTTCTCATTTCTGGCACATTTGATTTTTGTGTCTTCAATGGCTTGAATTGCAATTCTGTTGGGCAGTCCGTTTGAGTGTGTGATCAGAGCTACGATGTTTTCCTCCAGGTTTTTTCCAAACAGAGACATCACTGAATCAAAGACGTACATCTGTCGGTCACTCAGTCGATTGTCACTCGCCTTCAGCACCAGACCCACGGCGTTAACTTCATGAACTCCATCATCTGATCTAAACAAGTCCAACAACCTTTGGCTGATGACGACATCGTGTTCAGCTCCTCTGGTGTCTCCAAATCCAGGAGTGTCGATGATGGTCAGAGGGTAGGGCAGAGTTTCATCTTCAAAATCAAAAAACTCGTACACGATCACATCTGATGTTTGACTTTCTGTCTGACTTTTCCTCTTATCCTCCTCTACGATCTGAAACCAGACTTCATCCTCCCACTTCACTCCCATGTTGTGGTTGAACAGAGCATTGACCAGAGCAGATTTTCCTGCTCCTGTTTCTCCAACAAGTAAAATGGTTTTGTTCAACTTGTTCACATTTCTTTTACCAACAGTTATTCTTGTCAGACTTCCAAAGATCTTCTTCTTTATTCTCAGCTGGTAGACAGCAGGAGATCCTGGACGAAGCAGATCGCTCTTGGAGATGATGTCCTCATATTTAGGTGAGACGTTTCTGTTACTGCAAAGGAAATGAAAGAAACTGTTCAATACACATTCAAATATGTAGAGATTTATGTGTGTGTGTGTGTGTGTGTGTATGTCAAATGTCCAGCACCTCCACCAATCATCTCCCTGCAAGTTCTACAAAATACATCAACAACTTTCTGGCTGCTGGACAAATTCTTCTTCCTCCCCTGTAGGAGCAGCTTCATGCTTCATGGCAAAGAAAGGTATGACTGTGCAGTAAAGAGCAAATATCTCCAACTCCAAACCAGCTCTGATTTACATGGATCTCACAGACTCAGTTGGACTTCTACAGGGCCTTCCACCAGATGTGGATTTTTGAGGAGGATGAACGTAAGACAGCATTCAACACTTAGAAGTCTGTACAGCCCTTTGGACTCACCAATGCCCAGCAGTGTTATTAGTTAACAATGTGCAGTGAGACTTCCTGAATCACTTTGAGTTTGTGTACCTTTATGACATCCCTGACCTTTTTTAAAATCTTGAGGGTTGGAGCAGATCTGAAGTTAGTTAGCTTGAGAAGACCAATGACCCACGGCTTTACTCTGGGTCTAGGCCACTTTGGTCTCAGGATTGTAACCGAGGATTGGGTAGCGCCCTGACCAGGCTCTATGATGAACAGAGTATCAAAAGTAGAGGCACGTAAAGATTTTCTGATTGTATATGATAACAATAGGAGCTCGTAGGGGCTTAGGTGTGTGTTTGATTTCAAAAACAAGCAAAGGTCAGACTGCCATCTCAGTCGGTTTTGATTTGCTTGAGTGAGTAACTGAGGTGTTAGATATAGTCAAGCTGACATCTACCCACAGCAAGGGTTCTGGAACCAAACTCCTGGAGAGGGGTTGGACTCTCTCCTTTTTTGAAGTTGCCCACAGTAAGAGGAAGGCTGCCGGACAGACCTGGTAAACCCAAACGTGTAGTGAGGGTGAACTGGGAAAGTCTGGGGAGGCCCCAGAAGAATTTCTCCTGCATCCCGGGGGAGGTTGGGGACACGGAGTAGGAGTGGGCCATGTTCAAAGCCTCCATTGCAAAAGCGGCCGTCAGGAGCTATGAGCAGAAGGTCACTGGTGCCTGTCATGGCGGCAACCCCAAAACCTGCTGGTGGACACTGGCAGTGAGGGAAGCCATCAGGTTGAAGAAGGAGACCTTTTGGGCCTGACTGGCTTGGGGCTCTCCTAAAGCAGCAGGCAGGTACCGGTTGGCCAAAAGGGCTGCAACTGCTGTCGTGGAAGCTAAAACTCGGGTGTGGGAGGAATTCGGGGAGGCTATGGAAAAGGACTTTTGGTCAGCCTCAAAGAAGTTATGGCAAACCGTCTGACGCCTCAGAAAGGGGAAGCAGGGATTCGCCCAGGCTGTGTACAGCTGGGGAGGAGAACTGCTGACCCAAACTGGGGGATCTTATCGAGCGGTGGAAGGAACACTTCGACGAACTGCTGAACCCAGTAAACACGTCCTCTCTGAGGGGGCAGAGCCTGAAGACTCGGGGGTTTCTGCATCCATGTCCGTGGTAGAGGTCGCCGAGGTAGTTAAGAAGTTCCTCGGTGGCAAAGCACCAGGTGTGGACGAGATTCGCCCTGAGATACTGAAGGCTCTGGACATTGTCGGACTGTCATGGCTGACACGTCTCTTCAGTTTTGCGTGGGCATCGGGTACGATGCCTGTGGAGTGGCAGACCGGGGTGGTGGTTCCCATTTTCAAATAGAGGGACCGGAGAGAGTGGTGGGGTGAGGCATCACACTTCTCAGCCTCCCCAGGGAAGTTTACTCTCGGGTGCTGGAAAGGAGGCTCTGACGAGTTGTCGAACCTTGGATTCAGGAGGAGCAATGCAGATTCTGTCCTGGTCGTGGAACAGTGGACCAGCTCTTTACCCTTGCAGAACCGCTGAGGGGGGCATGGGAATTCGACCTGCCAGTCCACATGTGCTTTGTGGATCTGGAGAAGGCCTACGACCGTGTTCCCTGAGGGATTCTGTCGGGGATACTGAGGGCGTATGGGGTACTAGGTTTGCTGCTACGAGCCATTCGGTCCCTGTACAACCAAAGTGCGAGCTGTGTCCGCATTCTCGGCAATAAGTCAGACATGTTCCCAGTGGGTGTTGGACTCTGCCAGGGCTGCACCTTGTCCCCGATCCTGTTTGTGGTCCTCATGGACAGGATTTCAAGGTGCAGCCAGGGTGAGGAGGATGTCCAGTTTGGGGACCTCAGGATCTCGTCTCTGCTTTTTGCAGATGAAGTGGTACTGTTGGTTTCATCGGACCATGACCATCAGCACACACTGGAGCGGTTTGCAGCCGAGTGTGAAGCAGCAGGGATGTGGATCAGTACCTCCAAGTCTGAGGTCATGGTTCTCTGCAGAAAATCGGTGGATTGCCTCCTCCGGGTGGGGGGAGTTGCTTCCTCAAGCGAGGGAGTTTAAGTATCTCTGGATCTTGTTCACAAGTGATGGGAAGGGTTTGGGAGGGAAGTCTGGGATGACCTGATCCGCCTGCTGCCTCCGCGGTCCGACCCCGGATAAGCGGAAGAAAATGGATGGATGGATGGATGGATGGATGGATGGATGGATGGATGGATGGACGATTGATGATTGATGCAGGTGATACGGGTGAAAGGACATTGTCTGGAGACCTGTTGGGAGTTTGGGAGCACAATCTATGTTTCAAGGTGTAGTGAGAAAGGTGTTGGATTCTCTGGAGGCTCTCCTGCCTCGGACATCAACACTGGAATGAGTAAAAAGTTAAGGAGGGCGTATTTACAATTGGTGTTCCTTGAGCAGAGTCTCTCAGGTTGTAGCTGCTCATTGAGGGGGAGTGGTCAGAGTCCCAGAGAATCCAGAGTGGAGAGATTGGAGCCGTCTCTCTGGGACGGGGGGAGATGGTTAGTGGTGTGTCTGGAGCAATCTCCTGCGATCTCATTGTGGATTAGGCTGGTTGATGAGCAGGAGATCAGAAGCTGGGTTAAACATTTACTCATTGGAGGATCTGATGGACAAAGGGCCCATATTTTTTATAAAACTTCTCGACTTGCGATGTGGCTTGATAATGATTGTTCTGTCCTCAAGAAGTAAAAACACTGATGTTGTTTTTAACGTTATAAAATCCGTAGTGGCAGTAGCAATTTGGGAAAATAAATAATGAAGGGATGCTGGTCAACAAGTCATCTGAATGAATATCAGTCACTGTTTCAAACTTGTTCTACTGTTTGACAACAAAGAAAAATCAGTCAACTGGAGAGGTTTGTTACTCACTTGGCCATGTTGTTATGTGGAGCAAAGAGATCCACAGATGATGATGATGATGATGAGTAGGCGGCTGCTTTAGTCTCTGAATGACATTAAAACGGAATTATTAAAACCTTAAACACAACTCCACTTATCTGAGACAAACAAGTGTTAGCCAGGACAGATTCTGTAAATATGAATCTCATGTAAAATACAAATAATGAATAATGAATACAACTCATCTGTGGTATTTTATATCATTTACAAAATTTCATGTGGGAATGTCAGGCCAGTTCTATCTATCTATCTATCTATCTATCTATCTATCTATCTCAGTGTTAAGCTGTGTCACCTATTTCTGGTGAATCTTATAAGACAAACACCAGAAACACTGCAGACAAAATCGAAACTAAACGAGGCTGGAAGGAGAGTCAGACTTTAGTCTCCTGAGCTATAAAAGAGCAGCTTTGGGAGGTAAGAGTTTCCTTTCAGCTACCACAGATTTACCTGAATAACAACCTGTTAAACTCCCGTTGTGGACTTCTGTGTTACAGTTCAGGTTTCACTGTGTTTAGCTTCTGAAAGTCAGACTCATCTCACTTCTGTTTAGAGGGAAACGTGTTTTCTTTATGTTTCTTCATGAGTCTCACAAATATGTTTCTGATCAAAACATCAGGTTTTCACTACCAGTAAAAACTATTGACAACAGCATAAAAACACAGAGAAAGGGTCTGATGTCTTCAGCTGTCACAAACATCTCGTTTCCAGTGGTGTGAACCTGCAGCTCCAGATGTGAGAGGATCTTACCTGAGCTGCTGACGAGGCAGGATGAGGTGGTTTACAGCAGAGCTGAGGATGTGATCACAGTGTTTCTAAGGATCTTCAACCAGAGTCTGTCCAGGCAGCAGCAGAACAAACACGGACCAGGTTGTTCAGAGTCGGTTCATCTCCACACTTCTGACACACAAACATCTCAAGAAAGCAGCACACGGCCAACTTCCTGCTTCCTGTTTAGTCGTGTTTGCAGATCAGCCAGTGATTCAGCGGATGTGTCTGTGGTTTTGATTTCAAGAACAACCAGAGCTGCATGTAAAAAGAAAATCTGTCATTTATCACCTGGTGCACTGAAGCAGTTGCAGCTGGACCTCACGGTGACGTCTGGCTGCTCAGGTGTGACTCGGGGTGTTGGACTGGCAGCAGAGCTCATCACCGAAACCTAAATCCATTCCTGCTACCGTGGCAACGAGGATGATGTGAGGGATTGTTTTCAGCTGAACTGTTTCATCTCAGTTTGACTGTTTGTTCTGGCAGCAGATTACTTCTACCAGCTTCTGTTTACTGTGATTACGGCTCGTTGTTCGGTGAACGCTGGAGGACGTCTCCATTCACTACGAGTTCATCAGCTGCTTTAAATGTTTAGGTTCAGGTTTCTGCTCTTTAAAAGCCTCACAGCTGCAGTCAGAGTTCGGTGAGCAAACAGAGAAGAGACGAGCAGAACGAGGAGGAGGAACGTCTGGAACCTGGACGCAGAACAAGACGAAGAGCGCCGGCAGCAAAATGTCAGCGTTACACAAGAGTGAGTGTGAAAGAGTCATCTGAACAGTCAGAGAGCAGCACGAACAGTCCTCTGACTTCACAGCACACAGCCAGGACACAACAGCAGCTGCTCCACAGTCTACACACGACGACNTGTCACCTATTTCTGGTGAATCTTATAAGACAAACACCAGAAACACTGCAGACAAAATCGAAACTAAACGAGGCTGGAAGGAGAGTCAGACTTTAAAAAAAGAGCAGCTTTGGGAGGTAAGAGTTTCCTTTCAGCTACCACAGATTTACCTGAATAACAACCTGTTAAACTCCCGTTGTGGACTTCTGTGTTACAGTTCAGGTTTCACTGTGTTTAGCTTCTGAAAGTCAGACTCATCTCACTTCTGTTTAGAGGGAAACGTGTTTTCTTTATGTTTCTTCATGAGTCTCACAAATATGTTTCTGATCAAAACATCAGGTTTTCACTACCAGTAAAAACTATTGACAACAGCATAAAAACACAGAGAAAGGGTCTGATGTCTTCAGCTGTCACAAACATCTCGTTTCCAGTGGTGTGAACCTGCAGCTCCAGATGTGAGAGGATCTTACCTGAGCTGCTGACGAGGCAGGATGAGGTGGTTTACAGCAGAGCTGAGGATGTGATCACAGTGTTTCTAAGGATCTTCAACCAGAGTCTGTCCAGGCAGCAGCAGAACAAACACGGACCAGGTTGTTCAGAGTCGGTTCATCTCCACACTTCTGACACACAAACATCTCAAGAAAGCAGCACACGGCCAACTTCCTGCTTCCTGTTTAGTCGTGTTTGCAGATCAGCCAGTGATTCAGCGGATGTGTCTGTGGTTTTGATTTCAAGAACAACCAGAGCTGCATGTAAAAAGAAAATCTGTCATTTATCACCTGGTGCACTGAAGCAGTTGCAGCTGGACCTCACGGTGACGTCTGGCTGCTCAGGTGTGACTCGGGGTGTTGGACTGGCAGCAGAGCTCATCACCGAAACCTAAATCCATTCCTGCTACCGTGGCAACGAGGATGATGTGAGGGATTGTTTTCAGCTGAACTGTTTCATCTCAGTTTGACTGTTTGTTCTGGCAGCAGATTACTTCTACCAGCTTCTGTTTACTGTGATTACGGCTCGTTGTTCGGTGAACGCTGGAGGACGTCTCCATTCACTACGAGTTCATCAGCTGCTTTAAATGTTTAGGTTCAGGTTTCTGCTCTTTAAAAGCCTCACAGCTGCAGTCAGAGTTCGGTGAGCAAACAGAGAAGAGACGAGCAGAACGAGGAGGAGGAACGTCTGGAACCTGGACGCAGAACAAGACGAAGAGCGCCGGCAGCAAAATGTCAGCGTTACACAAGAGTGAGTGTGAAAGAGTCATCTGAACAGTCAGAGAGCAGCACGAACAGTCCTCTGACTTCACAGCACACAGCCAGGACACAACAGCAGCTGCTCCACAGTCTACACACGACGACAACAACAACAACAACAACAACAACAACAACAACAACAACAACAACAACACAAGGACATGCAAAAAACTGCTTTAAAAATAAACAACCACAGAGATGCAACATGAACCCAAAGAGACACAAAACCACCATAAAGAGACAATGTCCACCAAAAAATACAAAAGGACAACAAAGACACACAAAAAGACACAAAATGACCAAAAAAACCCATAAAATGACACAAAAATCACACAAAACCACCAGCAAGAGACAATGGCCACCAAAAAAAGGCCAAAAAAGTACACAAATCATCCACAGAATCACACAAAATCATCACAAAGAGACACAAAATAAAACACAGAAACACAAAATGACAAAAAAGAAAAAAATCCGAATCAGAATCTCTGCAGAGAAACAAAATAATCAGAAACACAAAAACCACAGAAACACAAAACGACCACAATGAGACAAAAAACCAACAAAGAGAAACTAAACCACCTCCAACAGCTCCAGAACCACCAAAAAACATCTCATGAAGCTACAGCTCTGTTTTTAAATAAGCAACAGGAAAGGTCTGCTGGTTCTGGAGCTCTCAGCTGGTTCTGGAAGTTTCAGCCGGTTCTGGAGCTCTCAGCCGGTTCTGGAGTTCTCAGCCGGTTCTGAAGCTTTCAGCCAGTTCTGGAGTTCTCAGCCAGTTCTGGGGCTCTCAGCCGGTTCTGGAGTTCTCAGCCGGTTCTGGAGTTCTCAGCCGGTTCTGGGGCTCTCAGCCGGTTCTGGAGCTCTCAGCCGGTTCTGGGGCTCTCAGCCGGTTCTGGAGCTCTCAGCCGGTTCTCTTCAACCATTTATCTCCATGTGGGGTCGTTAAGAACAGACCTGAGGTAATTCTTCTGCTTTATTTCACTGCGTCGGAGGGAAACGCTGCACATTTATCATTTATTGAGGCGAAAATGCCGAATATCAGCTGACGTTCGGCTCTGAGTCGAACCGTGAACGTTGAGTTTTCAACATTTTTAAGTTGGATTTCTGAAAGTTCATCACGTCTATGATGATGTTTATTGATTTGAGATTAAATGCAGCTGCTGCAGTTTTAGTCTCCTTTCAGCTACGCTTCACTCACGTCTTTGTTTATATTTGTTGTTGAGTTTCACAAGTTAAAAGAATATTTTGTCATTTCTGGAGTAAAAACATTAGTGAGGTCAAATGTTTTTGGTTCTTTAGTCGGAACCAAGACTGAAGAGAAATGTTAACACAACCAACATTTACTGGTAGTAATAAATGTTTCTGTCATGATGTGGACGTTTCTACGTGTTCACTAATATTATTAATATTAATATGACTGTATGGTGCAGACTGAGCCCAGCTGGTGGTTAAATCAGCTCTGGTCTGTATTTAAACATGTTCACATGGAACATATCAGTCCTCAGTCACACAGACCTGGATGTGATGCTACGGCGCCTCCTGCTGCTCTGAAGCAGCAACTGCAGCTAAAACAGCCACAATAAGACCTCACAGGTCCATGAGTTGTTGCCATTCTCAGTAACAAATGAGTCTCAGTGCAAAAGAAGCTGTCAAGCAAATCAATCTTTCACTGGAGAAAACTAAATATGTTTTTTACCTTTTTAATTTGCCTTCTGATATCATCCACAAACAGGCCCTTTAAAAATACAGTTTTATAACATATTGTTTTAACATCTGCACAGTAAAGACGGTGAACCCCAACACATCAGGATGTAGCTCCATCTGCTGCTTCATGCAGAAAGAAAACTTCTGATTTCTCCTGATGGATGCACAGGAGAGGCTAGAACATCAGTAACTCTGACTTCATGCTTCTCTGAACTAATTTATTTTATTTATCTCTGTTTATGAGACAGAGTTGGTCGACCTGCAGGCTGAGTGAGCAACAGGAGACAAACACTGAAAATGATGTTTTGTTTGCAGAAGGAAACACGTCAGCTGTTCAACAATCAGACCAACAACATGAACCTCCACATGTCAGAGTCAAACCAAAGCCTGTTCCAGTGATGCACCGCAGAAGAAGCTTTAAAACTACATTTATGTTTCATTTTTTATTTACAAAGCAGACAAATCACCTCAATCATTCCTATATTCTTCATTCTTGTATTTTCTGTATTCTTTTAATCGCAATATATAAATTGCAGGAAAACTAAATATTAAAAGTCTGTCCGTTTTTCACAGTCTCACTAAAACGTGTTGCAGATTTAATTAAAAACAGATAAATGAGTATTTTATGAGGCTACCTCACACAGGTGTAACTTACCTGCAGCTGCTGAAAACAGCGGAGTGGTCATCTGTCAGGGGACGAACTGCGCATGCTCTGTGTGGTAAAAACGGCATTAGCCGTTAGCCGCTAAATTTACGAGATTTTACTGGCAATAAAAAGCAAATAAACGGGACGTCAGCTGAACAAAGACATGGCGAAATTCATCTAAGACAAATAATATCAAACCCTGTGAAGGTAGCTGGAGTTTATACGTACTTTACATCTGAGTTTACCTCATTTTGACGTTTGTTAGCTACTTGTTGTTAGCTGCTGTGAAAATTACCCACAGTCCTTTGCTCTTACTAGTCAGCGCAGCAGGAAGCGCAGTTTTTATATTTAACAAAATTTAGTCTGTAAAATAAAACAACTTTGTTTTACTTTTTCTGCACAAGCTTTTCTGGTTTTGTGATTAAAATCAGTTCAACTACATTAAATGTACGGTCACGGTCAGCGGCTACTCTGCTAAGCTAGGCTAATCGGCTAGTTAGCTGTTAGCAGGACTAGTTTTATCATTTTTTTGTTTTTTACAGTAAAATTTTGTTGTATGTCTCACACACACACATAAAAAAACAGAATTTATTTAGATAGCTAAACATCAAAACTGAGAAAAAAAAATAAAAGAGAAAATGACAATAAAGTGGAGCACTAAGAGGCCTAATAGATTCTGGTTTTAATTCAGTTTCGTTCAATATTAAATTTTCCCAGTAAATTTACAACTTCAATCTCAGAAAAAAAAAGTTTTTTTTTGTCAGAAATTTGAACTTTAATCTTAGTTTGTTCTCATACATGTACGACTTAATTCTCAGAGAATATCAACATTTTACTTCTGTAGATTTAAGATTTTTTCCCCCCAGAAACTTATCGCTTTAATCTCAGAGCACATCCAGTTATTCTTTTTCCCTCATAAATGTATGACTTTATTATCAGATACTGATTTTTGAGCACCATGAATATATCTGCATTTAATCTCATACTATCCGTGTTTTTTTTATTGGAAATTTGTTAAATAAATCTGAGAATATCAGTTTTTCTATATATTTATGACTTTAATCTTATCTTGTATTTTTCACATAAATAGACAAGTTTAATCTTAGAATATTTACAGTTCTGTCACGTAAATTTACCACTTTAATCTCGGACTAAAACGCTTGGATGAGGTGTCAAGTTGATAATAATTCTCACACAGAGCAGCAAAACAGATCAGAGGAACTGATGAACGAGAAACAAGCAGCGACTTTGATCAGTTTATTGGCAAAATGAAACAGAATGAATGTTGTGAGTACAAACGAGCTACGACGCCGACGTCCACCTATTTATTATGAGGTTAATGGAATGTTTCAGGCTGTACATACAAAGAGACACGACGCTATAAAAACCACATCTCGGCTCAAATTGTACAGAAATCTGTTTCTCCGAGATGCTTCTCCCCAAAAAATATTCATTTTCTCGCTTCAAAATAATCGGCGGCGTCATTTTTACCGTTTCACTTGATTCAAAAGTGGTTAAAGAAACAATTCACTCAAACTCTTCGGGTTAAACTGGCTTCTGTGCTTAAAGCTAAAATAAAGTTTGCTTGTAAACTGGGAGCGATACTTTAAAAAAAAACAAAAAACAGCATCTCTTTAGTACCTCATTATTATTTCTATTATTTCAAGAACAAAATCCTGACAGTGAAAGAAAACATGAACAGAATTGGAGGAGAGACCAGCGGCTCAGAAAACGCTGGTAGGAAGGTTCTTTTGGATTCAAATTCACACAAATAATCACTAAAATTATATACAAAGTACTAAAAACAGTTCACAAAACTCAAAACACTGGTGTATAAAAATGAAAAAGCAAACACATCCACCAGGCGGACCTTCCAGTTCCCAGACGTAGCTTCTCGTCTTTACAGACAAACAGGATTCAGATTTTAACGGGAAACTCAAAGCATGCAGCGGAAACTTGACGTGAAGGAAACCAGCGACGCTGAATCTGGGCCTGAGAGCTTCTGTGGGATCGTACGGAGCGTTTCAGCATCGCTCTAAGACTAAGGAGTTTCTAAAGTGCTCAAAGGAAACTGGAAAAAGCCTCAGAAGAGAAATTCAACAAAATGTGAAGAAAAAAACAAACACATTATTTTACATTTGGACACAGTTTCACCAAAACCAGGCTGGAAAACATCTGAACTCTGTTTTCTGTGTTTGTGCAGCTTCAGCTTCAGTACTTTGGCACTTTGGTGTAATCCTCCGTGTGGATGTTCCTGCACAGGCAGATGGACAGAATCATCCCCAGCAGCTGCAAAACAAACGACAGGATGTTAGAGGGGAGTAGTTCAGGAGCCCCACAAACATCCATCCATCATCTCTACACCTTAATCCTCACTATGGGGGGCGGAGCCTATCCCAGCTGACTCAGGGTGAAGGCAGGTTCACCTGGACAGGTAACCAGTCTATCACAGGGCTACACTTAGAGACAGACAACCAAGCACACTCACATTCACACCTACGGACAATTTACAATCACCAATTAACCTCAGCATGTTTCTGGACTGTGGGAGGAAGCCGGAGAACCCGGAGAGAACCCACGCTGCACGGGGAGAACATGGAGACTCCACGCAGGAAGATCCCGGGTGTCCTCACTGGGATGTGAACCGGAGACCTTCTAGCTGTGAGGCGCTAACGATGCTAACCACTGATTTATGACTTTAATCTCACATTATATTTAAATATTTTTCTCATATTTACAGCGTCACTCTGAAGAAAATGGTCGATTTCTTTGTCAGAATTTTATGACTTTACGATCTGAAAAAAATGTTTTATTTGTTTTTTCCCTGTAAAATTGACCACTTTAGTCAAATCATCTTCCTCAGTTCACTAGTTTAATACTTTATTTTTTATTTACCTTGTTAATCTAAAAAAAAATAAAAATTTAAATCACAATCACTTTATTCTCTGAAAATGATCTTTTTCTTACATTTTTTGTTTTTTTGTGTAATAATAATAATCAACAGATTTTTTCTGGTAAATGAACCAGTTTGATCTCAGAGAACATGAAGTTGGTTCTCTGAACGTTACGTCGCTCTCTGGCTCCATCACTGATTCATTTCTTAAACCTAAACTTGCTGTAACATGCTTTTGTCTTTTTCACATTTATCTTTTCTCAGCATAACTTTTGATATTAAACTTTGTGCTCCACCAGAAAAACGTCATGTTTCTGTTATTATGATTTATTGTTGTTGTTATTGTTGTTGTTGTTGTGAAAGCTGCTGTACCTCGATCAGGGCGACTCCGAGGCAGATCCCCAGGACGACGCCGATGTTGGTGAGCAGCCAGCCCTCCACGCTGGCAGCACATCCCTGGTGAGACAAAGCAGGTTAGTACCTGAAGCAGCAGCCAGGCGGCGGCCGACAGGTGAGACGATCAGGAGGCAGATTTACCACATCGTAGACGGGCCAGTCGGGCGTCTGAGCCTCGCAGAATCCGGAGTCGGAGAAGTTTCCGGTGACCAGCGAGATGTTCTGGCAGGAGCAGGGGAACAGCAGCTGGGAGCTGTTGACGATCACCATGTTGCCGGACCAGTCCATCCGACCGGACCAGCCGCAGCACTCCATCTGCAGGCAGCAGCGCAACATGAGGTTTGAAATGATCCGACTTCACTGCTTATCTGAATATTTAGTGTTGCTTCTAACAGCGGAGTGTGACGAGATCGGATCAGATCTGAGGTCAGAGTGTCAGACTCACGGTCCTCTGGATGAAGTCCCAGGCCTGCTCCGTGGTCGAGTTGTTTCCGGGGTAGTTGTCCAACACCTTGGTGACGATCTTGGACATCTCGTCATTTAACTGAAACACAGCAGGTTGAAAAACGAGTGTGAGGAAGCACAAAGAGGCTCAACGAGGTCCAGACAGAATGTAGGCTGGACTGAGTTCATCACAGCTCCACATGGGAAAGAACCGAACAGAACAACCAGAAGATCTGAGTCTGAATGGTCCAAAATGACTTTAAACTTTAAAAGACTCAATAGAGGTCCAGCATGGTAGAAAGTCACCAACATTACTCAAATGAGTAAAAAATGATTTTAAACTTTCCCAAAAATACTCAAACTTTGTAAAAACTTACAAAACCTCGTCCAAAATATATCATCGATTTAACGATACAGATAATAGAACAACGACTCAAAGAGGACCTCCATGAGAACCATGAAGTCTGTCATCAGAAATAAAGGAGACGTATGAAGGACTGAAGGAACCAAAGCTGGACTCATGTTCTTTGTACTGGTGGTTTGTAATCTGACATCAGAGCAAATACTGTCCTCCTTTAGAGTAATCTGATTACTGTGTGGAGAACATGGTAGAACCGTTCCACATCCAGCTGATATTTATGACTGGTTTTATTGCACACAGATGTTTTTCTAACATTCCTGAATAACAACAGAACTTTTTTCACGAGCCATGAATTTTTTAAAATGCAAACTTCGGGAGCCAGATGTGCAACATCAGGTTTCTGTGATTCTCGGAGCTGTAAGTAGATCCAGTCCGGAGCCAAACAAAACACCTGAAACCGTCCAAACCACCAGAAACCAGACGGAGGAAGAGCCTCAGCGAGCCGAGGATCCAGACGAGGAGGAGGAGGTCTGAGCCGAGCCTCGGTTTGGCAGAAAAGACGGCGACGCGTCCAACAAACGTCCAGATACAATAAACAGAGACGTGTTTGCACTGAGAGCAGCTCCAGTCTGATTATTCACATCCGTCATGCAGCTGGACCCGTCAGCTTCTACTTTTACTGAACAAATACAGAAAGAGCCAGAAAACCACGAGTAGAAGAAGCTGCTGTTCTCCTGGTCACAAAACTGGATGTGATCTTCACGTGAAGCTCGAACATCTGTAACCCCAGAACATCACCAGAACACTTTGGTTTAATCACTTATTGGACCTTCAACAACCTCAGACGTGTTTCCAGGATTTTCAACATGGACTCATTCACCACCAAACCTCTCAGCCTTTAGTTTATCTGTTCAATCAATGAATGCACAATAAACTTCCACAGAATGTCCTTGTTAAATAAAGACTTAAACAATAGAAGAAGTTTGAAGTCCAAACTCCAGAGACTACATGTTTTGTTTTTTTCAGTTTGAAATCTGAAGAGAAGCTCCAGATAAACGGAGACAAGTTAAAGAATAAAGTCACGTTCAAGAGAAATCACCGAGACTGGCGTCAATCTGCTGACTTCACACTAAATATGAAATGTTTTTATAGAACTTAGCTGTAAGTGATGAACACAGAACCTCTACAGAACATCGTGTATGTTGCTGCTTCCTTTATGGGATTCAGTGAATAATTAATTAATAAGAGACGTAATTGGAACAAACAGTAAAGTTCACGTGTTCAGTTTACGATTTAAATTCCTTTTAAACTTGAAGTCACATGTTTTCCTCATGACTGACGAACACATAAAGATTCACACTGATCTTCACACAAGAACACAAACCGAACCAACAAATGAATAAAACACAAACAGAAGCTCCAGCTGGTGCTGCTGCTCGCTGACGGGCCACCAGGGGGCGCCGCCGCTCCAGCTTACAGCTTTATAACAAGTGTTTCGAGAGAATAGCCTGCACGCGCTCAGTGCGGCTTCTCAGACGAGAAGAAGAAAAGAAGAGCAAGAAGAAGAAGAAGAGAAGGAAGATGATGAAGTAGAAGAAAAAGAAAAGAAGAAAAAAACAATAATAAAAAATAAGATTAAGAAGAAAAGGAAAAGAAGAATAAAGAGAAGAAAGGAAGAAAAGGAGATGAAGAACAAGAAGAAAAGGAAGATGAAGTAGAAGAAAAGAAAATAAGAAGAAAAAAATAAGAAGAAGCAGAAGCAGAACATCAGAGACTCACCGTGTTCTTCTTGAAGAAGATCAGAGCTCCGGCTGCGATCTGGGCGATGAGGATCAGCAGGAGGCAGGTGAAGTACTGAGGAGGAGGAAGAGGAAGAGCTCAGAAACCAGAGGACTGACCAACCTCCACCAGACATGAACCTCCAGCTTGTTCCTGCTGAGAAACGTCACTTCTAAACTATTTATGAAATAATCATCTGCAGCTCAGACGCAGCCATCAGCTGGTGAAGCAACCTGACGTCTGATTGGTCGGTTGAACTCTGGAAGCCTCGGCGCTGACTCTACGTTATTGGTCCCTGAGGCTGACTCATGTCGTGGCTCTTCATCTCGACGTGTTCTCAGGTTCAGTCAGGTTTAATTATTCCATCTCAGATCTTCTGATCAGACGTCTGAAACGTTTCTGTCACAAATTATAAACACTGAAAACTGCGTCTGTGAAGTTTCATATTGAAAATACTTGATGAGAAAAAGTTTAGATCTGAGTCTGTCTGAACGACAACATCTGAGAACGGTTCTGTTGTTTCTCATCCAGAACCTGTGATGTTAGACAGGAGATTAAATAACAGAGGTTCCATCCTGAAACATTAAACATGAACGTGGACTCTTCCTGGACTGAACCTGCTCGTCTGACTGGATCACACGTTGGAGGAACCAAAGATGTGAAACAGATGTTCTGATTGACAGTTCCCATGTTTTCAGTTTCATTCTGCAGAAATCAGTAAACATGAAGAGAAACCGCTGAGAGTCCAAACCTGCAGCTTTAAGAGCAGACTCACCAGGACTCACCAGGACTCACCTGGACTCACCTGGACTCACCTGGACTCACCTGGACTCACCAGGACTCACCAGGACTCACAGCAGGTTTTTGTTCTGTATTAACCTTAACGCCGTGCAGCTCACAGAGACAAACTGTAAAACTAGAACCAGCTGATGTGAAAGAAGTCGTCGGTGTTTCTGCATTTGGTTCTAAAAGTTTGAACTTCAGTTTGTGTCTCAACAACCAACACGTGGACGAGTTCTTCAGCTGATGGTTCACCTGAGACCAACCTGTGCAGCTGCTCAGTTTGTTCTTGTTTCAGCAGGAAGTAGAAAAAGAAGCAAAATCACTACAAAAAACGGCAGAAGATCCACAACGGGATGCAAAACCAGCACGAAACGGTGAACATTACCACAAGATGATTTAAAATCAGCAAAAATCAAAACAAGAAACAAAAACTAAATGCAAAGTCAGCACATAAAAGGTGAGATCACCACCAGATGATTCTAAATCACCAGTAAAGAGGCACAAGTACCAGAAAAAAGCTGCAAAATCATCACAAAAGCAGAATCAGCTGCTGATAACGTTGTGTTTCCAGGAACCCTGAATGTGTGCTTTATAGTCGTCATGATCATCCATGTATTTCATCTACACGCTGCTTGTTCAGGCCTCACTCGGTCCTCCAGGCTGTCACTCACCAGGCCCAGCAGGCAGCGGATCTCGTAGATGGCTCCCAGGCAGCCCAGGAAGCCCAGCAGCATGGAGAAGGCTCCGACACCGATCAGGATGTAGCAGGCCACCTTCACCGCCGTGGAGTTATCTGGAGACAGAAGCCACCGTTAGAGAAGGTGTGTCCGGGGACGAGGAGACCAAACGACCACAAAACAAGAAACAATCAAAAATAAGACTCACGACGACAGAAAACTAAACAAAGAGACACAGAATGACAAAAAAATGAGACACAACAAGACAAACAGGACGGAGGACCATAACTCATGGAACAACACGACGATAAGGAGACGAAAAATGACCAAAACAAGACATGAAATGACCTCAGAGACACACGAAATGTCACAAAACAAAGAAAAACCACCAACAAACCGAGAGACGGGAGATTAAAGACGATAAAGACGAGAAGAAATCACCAGAGAGAGACAAAGAGACACAACAAGCCCCAGAGAGGAGACAACAGAGTCAACAGCTCGATAGGAAGAGACGCTTTTATCACAAATAATCAGACGTCCAGCTTTCTCTTTGTGTCCTATCATCCTAACTGGGTCATCTCTGAGTCCTCTCTCCTCCTGGTTCTGGTTCTGGTTCCACAGAGGACTTGATGCTAACCCGGAGCTCTGGGGTTAACTGTCATCAGGTGGAAACAGTGACGGAGACGGAGGCCGAACGTCAGCGCTTCGGTGACAGAATCGGGTCTGGTTCTGTCCCCGTTGTGACGCAGCTCTGACCTGGTGCCATCACCAGGCGGCTCATTGATTGGTCATAACGGGCCACTGGCCTTCCACCGAGCATCAATACGTGTCATTTATGCGCAGACACAAAGCTAAACTGTGCCGTACTTTAAACCCGTATGAGCGCATCCCTGGGCCTGGCGGACCCCCGGCGGCGCTGCTCGGCCCGGCGGCGGCGCTGCGTGGGCTGATAGTGATGAGTAAGGCGGTGATGTGATGCATGCTGATGCCGGCGGAGCAGAAAGGAGTCAGTGTCTGAGGGAGAACACCTGCTGAGCGCCTCAGTGACGCTCTGTGTTGGCTCACTGGGCTCCACACGCCGGTTCTGTCCTCCATTAAATCAGCCTTTATACGAGCTGCTGCCGCCCAGCTCGGCCCAACAACGAGCAGCAAACACTGACGCTGATGAGCTCCAGTCTGCCATGAACACCGGCTTTGATTTCAGCAGCTCGGCCTTCAGCTTCTTGTTAGTTTGGACCAAGACGGAAGAAAAAACTCAGCAGAGGAGGCTGGAAGTGGTCAAAGTATAAAACACAACACAGAACAGCAGCACGGCGACGAAGCAGAAACACAACACAACGCCAATGAGACCAACAACAACAACAACAACACAAACAGTCCAAAACTAAATGACAAAAATGAGCCACAAGAACAGCAGAAAGGAGAAAAACACGAGACAGAAAGCAACAAAACAAGACAGAGAAGTGGTGAAACGTCCGTCTGCAGGCTGAAAACTGGTCTGAAATGGATCACAGACCGTCACTTTGGACCGGTTCTGAGTTCTTCTGGACAACGCCGGAGTCCATCTGGAGAAGTTTCCACTAACTTTGGATATTTTGTCGTTACTTTGAGCAAATGGTGAGTCCTTCTGAACACATTCTGAGTCATTTGGACAATTTAGCCTGAGAAGACAATAAATTACACTGGATCCATAAATAACCAGCAGAACCACAGAACAGAGGAGCCAGAGGGTGGAGATACATTCATCTGATGGTGGAACATCTTTCTACTGATGGTGGAACATCTTTCTACATCTGATGGAGGAACATCTTTCTACTGATGGTGGAACATCTTTCTACATCTGATGGAGGAACATCTTTCTACTGATGGTGGAACATCTTTCTACATCTGATGAGCAGAGAGGAGAAGTCTGGAGACCTGGAGATGGTTAAACATCTGCAGGACGAGGAGATGAAAGGACGGCAAAGAGACAAAACTGTCACGTGAAAGAAATAAAACGAGACGAACAAACGACAGAACATGACAAAGACGTGTTAAAGTACCCGTAAAGAGATAAAACTGTCCTAAAGAGTCATGACACGACAAAAACATGACCTGAAGTGATTCTAGGAACCTGAACCCGACTCTACAGTCTGTAGAACGTCCAACGGTGGGACTCAAGATTTGTCCAAAATTATAAAATAAAAAGTTTAAATATTGTCATTTTGTACAAATGTTGAGTTATTTTTGACAAATTCCAGAATGTGGACATTAATTATTTACTCTGGACCAGTTCTGGGTTATTATGGACGTGTTGATTTATTAATTTTCTGAAACCATTTTTAATAAATGAATATGATCTCAGGTCTTTCTGGTCTCCTGGTTCCGAGTCCTGCTGACAGAAGACGTCTCTGAGTTCTCTCTCCTGCTTCATGTGGTTCTGGTTCCACAGAGCTGCAGGACTTTAAATTGGAACATGAACCTCAGTGAAGGAACATGAGCCATACCAGCTGATTGTGGTCATTTATAATTCATTATACGTATGATTCTGCAGCGTGGACCTGGAGCTCCTCTGAAGCTCCACACTGAAGCCAACAGTCCCGTCTCGTTCTCAGTGTCTGTGGTCTGGTAAAGGACTGCAGGATTAGTGAGTTCTGCAGGTGGTACTGGACGTATTTTTAACGTGAGTCTGCAGGAAAGCAATGAGCACGAACTGTTCCTTTAATCCTGCAGAGCTGAGCGGAGAAGACCAGATGAAGGCAAACAGGAAGAAGGAGGAATTTCTTCTTCAAACAGAGTCCAGACAGACACAACACGGAGGGAATCTGTTGGACGTCTGTGTTTAAGTGAAGCCAAACAGACTTCATGTTCACGCCAGCTCACGTCTGCGTCGGCCTTCATCGGGTCGCTGTGACTGATCCGCTGTTATCAGCTCCAGCTAGCAGTCAAAGCTAACGCCGCACACGCCGTCACAAACAGGAAGTCTGCAGTCCGACGCTCTCAGCCGGGGTTTAGCTCACACTGCACACTATCTACACGGTAATAGGACATAAAACTCAAAAATGTGACCTGAAATACTGCACTCTGTGGAAAATAAAGGATTTGAAAAAACTCTCTTTATTTTTTTTCAATTAAAGCTAATGAGCTAGGTGAATAAATGAGTCTTTAAAACAAAGAAACGTAAAATATTTATATATATACGTATGGTATATATATTAAAAGGCACATAGCTCTGTAATTTATCACAACAAATCAAAAAGTCTGATTTAAATGCTGCAGTTGTTGCGGCTACGGTGCTAAGCTAGGCTAGTCAGCTGCTTTTTTCTGACTACAGAACTTATTTAAGCCAAAAGAAAACTTGAAACACATTTAATAGTTTTAGCTTCACCACAACACTTCATGAAGCACCGACCGCTTTAGGAACAATTGTTGCTGCTAATCTGTTAAATTAGGCTAGCTGCGTTGGGCTAGTTAGCTTTTAGCAGCTCTGTTGTATGTGATGCTACTTTAATCGTCCACTACAGTTTAAAATTCAACTCCTGTTTTATTTATTTTCACAGCAAATAATTAGCTGGGATAAGAGAGAAAGTTAAAATAAAAACTTAAATGTGTGTTTAAACTCTGTTCTGGGTTAGAAACGTTCTGAATCACACAGAAGGTCTGACTTCAGTAGATTTAAACCACTTCCTGTCCAGCTTTCTGCTCCGACCGTTGACCACTGAGATATCACCACGTGGCTGTGAGCCGCCGTCTATTCTGTGCTGCGGCCTGCAGCCCGGTCTTGGCCCGGGTTCAGCCGTTCATCGCGGGTCCGTTTGTGTTTCTACAAGCACGTCAGTGTGAGGGGAACCAGCGCTTTCACCATTTATTCTGTCTGCGCTTCTGGGTCGAGGCACCGAGCTGCAGCCGACCTCTGAGGGTTTTATCCGACAGAAGACGGAGTTCATTGAGCCGACAGCTGAAAGGAAAACGTCATTAAAGCTGATGAGACACTTACTGAGAACCACGATGAAGCTCTGATTGTCCAGCAGCAGCCAGAGTCCAAAGCCCATGATGACGGCGCCGAACAGCTGAGAGACAGAAACACATCAGTACAGACGCAGCACAGCACACATCTGCTCATCAACAGCTCTGAACTGGACCCTTTAACGGTCTGACAGGAACTCGGTTCTGCTCATATTTGACCCAGTTCTGGTTCTTTTCAGCCCATCAGGATCCGTCTGATCCTGAAGTTTATTCTGCAGCAGAACGTCCAGCAGGAGCCTTAAAGCATCATCTCCGGCTCCCTCAGGACATAAACCTGCACAGAGTGACTGACTGCAGGTCCAGAACCAGCAGCTGGTCCGTCTGCAGCTGGTCCAGTTCATCGTCAGTTAAAAAGCAGTTTCCTTTGTTTCAGTGTTAAACGACGGCTCAGCGTTTCTCTGCAGCTCCTCCTGCATCTGTTCATGAAGCTACTGAGCAACGAACCAGGAACCAGAAACGTTTCTGTCGCACGAAGCAACTCAAAGATTCAAAACCAGAGAATCAATCAGACTTCAGTCGGTCTGGATCCTTCAAAACGTTTTTCTGCATTTTTTTTCTAGATCTGCTAGAAAACTTTATGACATTCACCAAAGATTGAAAAAAGAAAATTAAAGATGAATCTGTTTGTGTTGAGATTTTAAATTATTTATTGTGCTGCTTATTTCATTAAAGTCTTAAACAGACTGTGTGTGAAAGAGATGAACCAATAATCATCATCATCATCATCATCATCATCATCATCATCAGTAAAATAAAACACGAGCTTCAGCCTGAACTGATCAGAGTCACAGCTCACGGTTTAGGTTTAAATAAAGACGTTTCACCTGACAGGCTTTTATTTTACCATCGAAGCAGAAATGATATGAAATGAATTAAACTGCAGCAGAGACCTGAGGAATGTGTGCATTTATCAGAACCTATCAGAACCCAGCAGAACCTATCAGAACCGGTCTTGGCCAGCAGAATTCCAGCATCAGGCGTCTCCACAGGAACAGAAACAACAGGTTCAGCTGAACGTCTTAAATCGACTTTATTCACTGAGTTTGTTCACATTCTGAGAAATGAATGATTATGACTGGATTATTATTATTATTACTATTACTATTATTATATTA